TTCATAACCAAACCATGTCCATGCTGCAGAGGGAGCCCCTCGTTTAGAAATAAGGTCCTCGATTTGTTTTGTTTTGGTCATTCTGTTTGTCATCATTTCAGTTTATTTTGAAAAATCTCAACAGGATCTTCAGCTTTATTGTGAAAGGCTTGGGTGGAAAATAAACAAGCGGACAGCAGAGCCACACGCTGGGTTTACCGTCGTTGTTGCTAACGACAACGCGTAAAAACAGTTGCTTATCCGTCCGTAGTGTGGTTATTTTAAATATAACAGAAAGAGAGAACTTTCTGTTATATTCACTATAGTGACCATCAAAACGATGAAAAAATATTGCCGTAAACAGTTTATTTTGCGACACCATGAAACAAACGATAGCGTAAAATGAAACGATAGATTTTTTCATATCGTCATCCGATATATATCGTTATACTGAACAGCCCGAGACTGAGGCTACAACTACTTGCAGTCAGATGACGACTTCCTTGTCCTTGTCGTCCTTTTTATATCCTTGTTAGACTGAGCGATGCTTACACTGACTGAGCATAAAGACGCTTATTATTTTGGGAAAGCTTATGAAGATATTGGAGCCAGTGAAATAATGTAATGAATTGAGGTTTACACGTGAGTGCTATTATTTGATTCTTCTTGTATTTGTGTTGTATTATTGCTGCCAGCAGTGCGGCCTTGATTAATGTTCGAGTCTTAAAATTATTCAGCAGAAAACTGGAGTGTCAAAAAGAAGAATCCCTAATCCTTTCAAATTAAGAGCTTTTTCTGAATGGCTGTAACGAATTGCTTCGTGCTTGCTGTGTTTGATAATGTAATTACGGCTCTGACAGGAAGCAGCACTCATGAACAACAACCTCATCTGGCTTCAGTGTTTCCACCATTAATTTATTACGCAAAAGGCTGCTGGCTTAGTTTCCTCTGCTGATCTGTTGATGCAATAATCAACTACCTACAACAAAAAACATATTATAGTAGCCAAATTTGCTAAGTCGATGCATTAACTTGTCTTATTGTATAAATGTGCAAAAACTCTTTCTTTTTCTTAACTTTCAGCACTTTTTTCCCGGGCTCGCATAATGAGCTGTACACTTGCAGCTCCAGATACCATCAAGGGAAAAGGTGAGAAAATTTTTACAGGGAAGACATTACACACAGCAGTCAGAGATAACGAGTGCTGAATAAAACCACAACTCTCGTAATGAAAGAGGCTGTGAAGACGAATAAAAGGCTGAAATAGTTTCCTTCATCTCTCCGCTCTAATAGGGTTTTCTCCACAGCACAATAAGTGTCTTTTGTGAAAGAAGCACTAACTAATGTTTTAACACCCTCTGTGTTCATGCATTTCTTCAACAATGGACGACAGGGCTGTGGGTTTTCAGCCCTGTTCTCATTCCAGAGCTTCATTACGCCATTGTTCAGCGTAACGATTATTACCTCTGTTTTGCTTCATCACTGTGTGCCTCTGTTGCTGGAGCTCTGCTTCAAACACAAACCACGGGCCATTCTGAAAACGTGAGACTTCTGATTACTGTTGGAGTCGATTACTAGTAGGCAGAGGAGCGGATGTGAGTCAAAAGAATGTCGTGTCACTATATTTTGGTCCGTTTTAGTCAGAACTGCTCCGTGCTTCTTGTTGCTGCTCTTTGGGGAAATTTCTCCAATCTCAGCCCAACCTGTGTGCAATTACTAACGCCACAGTTGTATTTTCTAGTTCCAGCGGCTGCCAAAGTAGAAAATGGGGGTGAAAAACCTGCTGTTATGCTGGTAATGACATGTGTTTTGACAGCAGTCCAAACATATTGAAAATGTTTGCAGGTTTTTTTGAAGCATTATGTAAATTAATGTTAATGTCAGTGGTCACAGGTTCGTACAGACGGCAAACTTGATCCCAAAATAAACTGTGTTTTCTACCCCAAGTGTAAAACATGACGGAGCTTCTGCCATGGTTTCTGGCTGTGTTTCAGTCAGTGATGTCGGGGATTATTTTGTGTTCATTTTTCAGCATGGCAAATTCAATTCAATTTTATTTATACAGCGCCAAAGCACAACAGCAGTTGCCTCAAGGCGCTTTATATTGTAAGGTAGACCCTACAATAGCACATACAGAGAAAAATCCAACAATCCTATGAACCCCTATGAATAAGCACTTAGGTGACAGTGGGAAGGAAAAACTCCTTTTTAATAGGAAGAAACCTCCTACAGAACCAGGCTCAGGGAGCGGCGGGGCCAACTGCTGCAATCGATTGGGGACAGAGAAGAAAGACAGGATAAAGTCCCCAAACACTGCAGTAATCCAATCCAATCCAGTAAAATCAAAACTACCCATCATGGACTGGCCTCCCCAGACCTCAGACCTCAGCCGCATTGAATCTCAACATCCAAAGAAGAGCTTTAAATGTCCTTCAAGAAGCCTGCAGAACTATTCCTGAAGACTACTTAAAGAAAGACGCGGAAGCTGGCTCAGAGAGTTCAGACTGTGTAGAAGAATAAAGGTGGCCATAACAAATATTGACTTTTAAGCTTGTTAGAATTGCACAAACTCTGTTTTGGTTCTGGTTCTGGTGTTAACGTCATTTTAACGAGATTAACGCTGACAGCACTATTATATACCCATGCATGTTTGCATATATTCTAATAACTAGCTGCTTTGCCATGTTCCTAGTAAAATATAAAGTGACTTTTCCGCAATACTGTAGTTACCACACTGGAAAAGTACTGATTGCTTTTCCTGAATCGCCAAAGCCAGAAGTCTAGATTCCAGCTTGAGGGTTTGCAAACATCACATTGTGTATGTAAAGCTGTTATAGACAGCCTGTGTTTACTGTCAGAGAAAAGCTTCCAGGCTGGACACTAAAGGACTGAACATGTACAGGATCTAAGGATCCTTTTATGCTTAGTGGAGTTGGATCCACGTCTTGCTCGACGCTGAGACAAAATCCTGCTTTAATGTCTTTGGCTGGAACGTAACTGTAACATAAACAGACAGGAAAGCACTGAGATTGCCTTTTGAACTTAAAACTTGAAACAGTAAAATATACCACAAAAATTGTAACTTAACCCCTGCTGTGAGCTTAAGCATGAAAAATGAAAACAAAAAGTGCTCCTCTGTCAGCGATTATCCACTTTGCCCAAAGATAATTTGGAGTATTTAGCAGAAAACACGGAGCCACTTAGTTCATCAACACTGCACTAAAAAAACAGCTGGATCCTGTTTTGCACGCTGGACTTTCCTGCTAAGGGTAAATAGTCTTTTTAGTGTGCTCTCTTTTCCCTTGGCCATATGCATCTGGCACAAACAGCTTTTCAGCGCTGCGAGTGTTTCATGCTGTGAGCTGTCATTGTCTCTGCTTTGCCAAACAAGTGGTTTGACCCAGAGAAAATCAATACGCCACTGCATGACTTCAAAAACAGCTGCTTTCTACTTTCATGAGGCTACAAAAGACCTTCAATTACGGCCGTCTCTGACCAATGCCGAGCTGCTAAACTACATGATCAAAGGTTGCCATAGCGAGAGCATGAAAGCGGCACAGTGGTACCGGTTTCCTTCAGGCCACTGAGTCTCACTGCATCTTTATAGAAATGGCTTGTATAATGTATCAGACATGTAAACAAAGTGGTCTGTGCCAGTTTTGCTTTGCTGAAGAAACACTCCGGTCGCTTATTATGCAATCATAAAACCTGGCAGGACGTTTCCTGTGTTATTACAGATGCGTTTAAAGGCTCGGTTATTAAAATGTTCTCTACCCACAGCCCTGTGTCACAGCTTTTATAGGCAGCAAGAGGTTTAACCAAAGTGATTTTTCTTTCTTACACTTGGACCGCATTCAAGAAACCCAGAAGAGGTAAATACAAATTGCTTAGAACTGTCTTGCCACCACCCAGGTTCCTGTAAAGTGCAGATTCAGCCCAAACCTCATATACAGAACTGGAGGATTCAAAAGAACTCATTTCAGGCTTAAACACCCCGACCTTTCCCACCTCTTTGGGCTGAAGGTTAATTTCTCAAGCATTAAACCTGCATTGTTTTCAGTGGCCGCCAGGTGGTGATGCATACGGCTCACACAAGACTTCAGGTCCTACAGAAGACCTCCCTCCACCCTGATCTCTGTAAACACTTTACTGAGGAGTTTAAGGGCTCAGTTACGGATAAGACTCCTTATAAGCAGGATTATACAGGACGTGCTCATTGGTTATTCAGTCAGAGTGTGATTTCACAGTCAGATCCACACCTCATTGGTCTGGTTTCAAAAGCACCAAGATGGTGATGGCAAAAACGCTCAGCTCAAGGATTAACAACAGGACTTCACAAACCTACGGCTGACATCACCATGGCTACATCCGTCTTATGTTACCCCTGCCTTCTCTGGGTCATCACGCAAAGATGTCTAATGCTTACAGCTACGGCTGTCACCTCATCTGTATGGAACCAAAGTATTTGAGATTCCACAGCATCCACAGCTGGAAGAGTGATTCACATTTTTAAAGGATGCAATGACAGTTTTTTGCTTTGAGTTTCTCAGAGGCCAGTTAAATGTGGCAGGTCGTTAACCGTTTATGTCATCATGTTTGGACACATCTGAACTCCAACTGTTTGTCATCTTCTTCTGTTATTTTTACTTCACGTTAGCTGATAACTCTAATTAGACCGTTGCATAGCAACAGGAAAGATGCTGGGTTCCTCACGCCCACTGTACTCTGGTTATTTCTGTTACTATCCTTTAAAGGAACCGTCACAGTTTTCGTTTTTATCCATGCCCTTCAGTCACCTTTAATCATACATTTTGATGCTTAGAAAAACAAGCTAATCCACCTGATAAGACACAAAAATCAGCTGCATGGGTGTAGATAATAACAATATTTAGCCAAGAAGTCCTCTAACTCAATCACCAGCCCATAACAAATCCACTCATAGGTGATGAATCAGTAATCTAAATGTGTAAATTGCCATTCCTTCACTGATTAGGACACAGTTAAAGCTGGCGTGGTCTTACCTGCTGGCCGTGGTAAAACACGGCGAGGAGGAACATGGCCATCAGGAGTAAAGACGTCTCTTTGGTTCCCAGGAAGTTTCTGTTGGAACGAGAAGAAAGAAGAGTCTGTTCAACGGGAGCCCTTGTTCGTCTGTTTGACAGGCATGTTAATGGAAAAAAACTTGGGGCATGTCATGGTCGACGTTTAACAATTAATTGTGTTAACAAATCAGTAAGTAACAAATAAAACTCCAGAATTTCAGAGAAATTCTAGAGTTTTATTTGTTACTTACTGATTTTATTTGTTACTTAGTGCCAATTAGGGAAAAGGGGAGCTTCTTCAGTACTATGGAAGTAGTTTGGCTTTGTTGTTGAGAGCATACCTCCAACTAAACATGACACTTAACCTATTTCAGCTACAGATGGAAACAATAAACTTGTTTTACCCAACGAGGCAAAAACACATCGTAAAAACAAGTACAACCAGGCTACAAAGGCATGTGATGGTGAGATATGAGTAGCTGGCGATACGAGACCAAAAGTAAAGTGACTTGACCAAGGATTGCTGGAGCACTCGCTAGCTGTGCTCCATATGACAGGAAGAACAAATAGCGGATGGAAAGTACTCCTGCAGTTACATGGCTGAAAAGCAGAGCTTTTTTTAAAAGCTCAACCCAAGAAACAACACCTCAGGTAGAAAACATTTCAACTGCACTTTTATTATATCCTCCTGAGAACCGAGGGAAAATGTATCCCTCAGTTTAACTTTTTTTGTAATTTCCTGCCTCATTAGATCTAAAAAAGGCCACCCAACCAAATGAAATATTATTGAAAAGGCCAGGATGTCCTCTGTTGAGCACATCAGGACTTAGAAGGGTAGCTCAAATAACACAAAAGTTATAGACCAAAAGCAGAGGACATAAAAAGCCGTTCTCAGGGGGATATGTTAATCGTGCTCCTCTTGCCATGTCTGCATCTCATAATGTTTCCTGTTTTATTGTGAAGGGTCTGTTGTTTCCATATTCAGTGTGTTTAGTTTCACTTCTCCTGTGGCGTCATTCTGTTGATTCATATCAGCTGTTTCCCCATGTTTCCACTTTCCCCGATCACTTCCTGTGTGCATTTAGTCTGTGAGTTCTCTTCATTCCTTGTCCGATCGTCCTCCTTTCTCTGCCATGTTTCTAGGTTTTCATGTATCCATGTCTTCATGTTCACGTTAAGAGTTTTCTCACGTTTAGTTTCGCCTTTGCCTTTTTATTTTGGACTGTTTAACCAGCCTGCAACAAACGGCTCTCCCTCAGTTAAATCAAAGTTTCGTTTTGTGTGTCTGCACTTGGGTCCTCCTCACTCCACACAGTCTGCTTCCACGACTGTGACAATAACGTTATTCTAGTTATTGTTAAACTAAAGTTTTAAGTAGTTATGTTAGACTTTGAGTTATGTAAAATTTCAACTGAAAACACTTATTGTACTCATGTTTGATTTATGCTGTGTCATTGCTATTGTACTATTATACTGCTGCTGGCATCAGTAACAGTAGCTCATTGGAAATGAAGAATAGAAACAGCCTTTATGTTGTTTGCAGTGATACATTTTGCTGCCTCCAAGCTGCAAACATCGATAAAATGTTGTATTTTCTGCCTATACTGTCATAAATGTCATCATTGTGAATGATACCGTGAGATCACTTCGAGTCTATATCATCCACCCCTACTGGCTATGCACATAAATACAACCGATCCACATTAAAAGCATTGAGCCTATGTTACCCTAAAGATGCATTTGTTGGGCATTTCTGACCATTTGATAAACACAAATATAAATTATTCATGTTTCTTCTCTTCTAAAGTTTTACATTAGTGTTGATTTTTTTTCCCAGGCAAAACCTGTCTGAGTATATTCTGTTAATGAAAGGTGGTCACATTTTCATTCAGTTTTTACTCTTCTGGTTTTAATTTTCAAGAAAACTTTTTCTTAATAACCTAAATAAACATGTAGTATGATAAACAGTGATCCACAGCATGTTCTTTTGTAATAACCTAAATATTGCTTCACAAAAACTACATTCGAAACCCAGCACCGGTGACAAACCTGCTCTCCATTAAAGTTGAGATCTAAACACAAACTGCAGCAAAATATGAAAAGACGACACTTTTTTTCTCTTAATCTCACGATTCTTTGTTTTCAGCTCAGACCGTAGAAGGATCAAATGTTCTGCGTGATCTGAGGCTCGCTGAGGATCAACAGCTCAGAGAGATGTGGAGACGGAGCTCCAGGCACTTTACAACGAGTTAGGAGCCAGAATCTCAAAACAAGCGAAAAATAACAGCTCGTTTGTTTTCGCTGCCGAGGATCAGCTTGTGACAGCAAAATGTAGCGTGCAGCCTTTAGTGTGCAGTGATGCCAGAGGAAAACAAATACAAAGCTTTAGATTCTCTAACACCCACAAATAAACAAACACAAGCTCACGACTCGGTGCATATTTTGGTAGAAATAATCATCATCTTTTTAAAGTTTAGAGGCACACTTACGATAGAAACAACACAAAGATTGGAAAACTTCAAGCACTTTGAAGTAAATCAACTCACGCCCACAACACACAGCCGGCATGTCACGGAGATGAAAAAGCAGGCAAGCTAAGGGAGTCGGGCCAGGATGGGATTCTGTAAATACGCAGGCTTTTTACAAGAAAGAGGCTCATTTAAACGAATTCTTTATATATGTCAAAGTGTTCGCATTTTTGATCTATTTATAAAATTAAAGACTTAAAACTGAAAATGATGATGATTAATGCAGGTATACGTTAATGTATCTCTGAGTTCATTTCATTGTCATTGAGATATGGCTGTAGAAATATTTAACTTTTACAGGCAAAATACTCAATTAATCAAATGCATTTATTTTTTGGTAAAATATGTCATTATAGACATTTGAACAATAATGTGACAAATATGTAAAAGGAAAAAAATGAACATAAAAATGCTGTTAGTAACAGATCTGTGTTTTTTGTTGTTGTTTTTTACAAAAGAAGGGATATGTGTGATTTCTACATATGGAGCAAACAATACTGGCTAAACTGGGCTTTACTTTCTTTTCCCCTGAGATTTTCTGTCATTTCCCCAAAGGACCTCAAAATCAATCTCCCAAAAGTTTGGTTTTGTTAGCTTGTTTTAGCAGGTCCTTCGTAGTATTTAGGTCACATTTCCTCACATTCGCCTGTCTTGTCTAACACATTGGAGCTTCTTGATTTGAACCTTGACACAAGCAGGCACCTCAGCGGAAGTGCCAAAAACTGCAGTTCTTCTAATGTCCACTAGAGGCTGGCTACAAACGAAGTCAATCCAGAGAGGTTCCCATATGAAACTGTCCGGCCTTACAGCAGATATAATCATGCCTACAACCAGCTACAAAAAAACAGTTTTAGCCTTGATAGTTTCAACTTAGTGATAGCAGGACTTTTTAAATCTAACCAGTAGTTGACTGCACATGGCATCAGGCACATTCTGTCGTGGTTAGGCTGTGTGGCAGGCAGGATGAGGACCCAAACGCAAGACTCAAACACAAAAAGCTAAACTCAAAGCGGCAGCTTTACTCGCTGGAAAAAAGTCTAAAACTAAATACAAGAAGCAAAACATAAAACTAGAAGCTAGAGAACTAAGACTCAGAAAACTAGGAAAATAGAAACAAAGGAACTAAGAGCTGACAGGAGGTAACAATGGAAATCAGGAGCCCAGAGACAACACACAGCATTGTGACGGTACAATGCAACAACAGACAGAGGAACAAACACGGCTTAAATACACCAGGGAGTAATGAGGGAATGGAAAACAGGAGGGAAGCACAGCTGGGGGTAATCTGACACAAGAAGACAAAGGAAGCAAAGCAGACATAGGACACAGACTTTCAAAGTAAAACAGGAAACACGCGAACACAGAGGTAAGGATGACAGAGAACATAGAGACCTGAAATGTGGGGCAGGAAGGCAGGGAAGCACATAAACAAAACCTAAACCATGAGGAAATCAAAGATTAATAATAACACAAACCCCTGGGTCACCGAGCCCGGACCGTGACACATGACCGTGACAAACTGCTCTTAGAATAAAACCTCACCTGAACAAAAAAGACAAACAGTGCATTTAATATACGAGGATGTCCTCCACTAAGCACTCACTCTGTGTTGTGGTGGACGGTGTCGTAGCGAACAAACAGCGACGTGTAGAAGGCTTCGGTCAGCAGCGAGTAGATGGCGATCATCACCAGCAGCACTGCCAGCTTCAGCACGGAGTTCAGTCGCAGGAACACCGCACACGTCACCATCGCCAGCACTCCAGTGAATACAAAATACTGTGAAAAATTAAAACGCATGGTCAACTTCATCTGAACAATAATGTATTTAAAAATGTTGGCAACTCCAATCAGCCACAGCTGCACTCAGTGTTAAATATCTGTCAACAAACACACGCTTGAAAAGTTCCACGACTCTGCAGATGAACATGAAAAACATAACTGATTCAAATTTGATCAATATCCATTCAAAGTCATCTTCTCATGGATCGCTCTACTGCTTCCAGGGCTCCTGCTCTTTTTAAACACAGAAGTCCCATTTGGACCATTTGCAACTGGGATTTGAGACTGGAAAGCTGTTTGACCTGGTAGAAGACGTTGTGATTCGGCTGGATTTTATTTTTCACTCGATTCTTGAGGTTCTGCCAACCTCCCATAATGTTGATGGTGCAATAATTTTGTGCCAGCACAGACAGAAAAGTGAAGCGCTGCATGTGAGCAGCTCAATAGAGCAGAAGGAAAAGGAGGAAGACGAGACCGTATAGATGTGTTATATGTATATAACACACCAAAGTGGACACAAGTGGATGGACATCCAGTCGTCTGAACAAACAGTATATATATATATATATATATAAAAAAAAGGTGTATAACATTTTCCTGGTTCTTCAGTTTTCTCCAAGCCGATTTTTACATGTGTGAGAATCGTCAGTAGTAGTAGAGTGGGGTAGTTTTGCAATACATTGCAGGAAACCGTGACCTAAACTTGTGCAGATATGAAGTTCTGTGTACAGCTGACTCAAGTGTCATCGCTATAATTCAAGTGAGAAGCATGATCAACACATGATGCACAATGTGGTTTCTTTTTTCATGCACCTTGAATTCATCCCTCATGGTCAGACTTTCAAAGCACAGTACTACTGTAAAGTCCTGAAGCATCAGAGGGGAAACATTAGAGGAAATGACCTCTGAATGAACTGCAGTGCAACAGCCGTAGCCCACAGTGCACTGAAAAGGTCTCCACTCAACATCTGCCCATTCAGCTGGGACAGCCTATCCCAGCTGAGCGGGCTCACAGGGCAAGTGGCAAATAATAATGATAATAATAATATTATTAATTATAATAATAAGTGACTGGTGAATCTCTGCCAGATATCCATACTGTAATATAGTGGATGTTAGCATGTGGTGCAGAGGTTGATCAGAGTGATCTTTGATAGATAACAGTTTGAAAGCTGTGATAGAGAGGAAGTCACTAAACAAAGTCTCCAGTTTGCAGCCAATCATAGAGGAAGATTTCCTAATGGTGCTCAGCAGAGTACGCTGCAGCTGCCAGAATTAAGGTATACAAAAGCACCATCACTCTGCTGCACACAGTGAACACAAGCTTCCTCCCTCGTTTTTGAACAGCCTCTGTGTTGGTCTGCCTGCTGGTGATGAGGACAACCAGGTACTCGTAGTCCTCTACGACATTTGCATCCTGACCCAGGATACATGGGTGAGGCCTTCTTCACCTTCAGAAGCAAAGGATTTACAATGTCATCCACTATTGTGCTCTCCTCCTCGTCTAGTCTAGCTCTAGATGCTACGACTCAGTTTATTGAAAATTTGAGGCGTTTGACATGTTCAGAGATCTGACAAGAGACAAGCTTGAAGGGGACACTGGGCAAGCTGGAATTTTATGAATGGATTTTATGAATAGGGACACATTTTGTATTATCATGCAAACAAACTAAACTAAGCATACCTGTTAGCATGCCTGCATTAGCACTTAGAGTGACGTGTGTAACACTTTTACTTAATTAATAAGAGATGACTGCTGCAGCTGCAGAAATCATCCTGACTCTTCACCCCTGAAAACATTCTGTGTTTACCTTTGTCCTCACTGGTGGACTCCCTCGCCTGCTCACAAACCTCCTGCTGCCAATCTTCTGTCTCCAAACTGAAGTAACATTTACGGCATCACTATGAACTCATTAGCTCCTCCACATTAAACCTCCATTATCACAAGATGAGAATGAGTCGACTGGCCTTTATGTGTAAAGTTGGTAAAGTGCCCTTTTATAAAAATGAAATATCTGACAGCCCGCTCACTGCACCAAAAGCCTCTGACATTGGCACAGACATCAGTTTTTGTCTAATTTAATATTGGAGTGCGTTCTGGTGCGGCCTAAAACAAAGTCAATAACTCTTCTTTATGTGTGTAAAATAGGTCTTATTTGCGCGCATGAGCCTCAGGAGGAAATACGTTTATGATGTATACATGCAACAATACATGAGTCAACCCGAGCTCGGAGCTATAAAAATGTGGCTCCCTTATTGAGTTCATCAATCAGCTGCATATTATGTGAGCAAAACAACATAATGGATATTTTCTCCGTGACGTTCTGATGGCTCCATCAGTCGTAGCGTTGTCTGAGGCGAGACCTCCCTCTGGGCGCGAGCAGATGTCGAGGATGTTTAATTCATCAGTTTGCCGCTGTCACACAAGTGGGAAGAAAAAAAAAGACACAACAGATGGACCCGACTGCAAAATTCAGACACCTCATTTAGTTTGTACCTCTGGGTAGAAGCAGATGTCTGGGATGGAGGCCGATTCGTTGTACGTCTGGTTCCTGAAGGTACTGGACTTGTCGAAGTCGCACCACAGCTATGGGAGACCAACAGGGTGGATTAGTGTTGTTGTGCAGTTTTAAATGATGCAGGATCTGCATAAAAATACCCCACATTCCCTTTCAGACAAATTTCCATCACGCTTTTAATATTTCAAGATAGTTGTGTGAGAAATCGACAGCTGATTTCAACTTTCTGCAGGAAAACACCAAATTTCTCCTGCACAGAAGGAGTGATGCAGTTGACACGAATAACTGAAGAAGACCTGAAGGGTTGAATTAGCAGCAACACAGGATTCTTACAGAAGGAGGGGGGAATGTAGATGTGTAGGTAATTAAAATCTGACTAAATAAAGCAACTGAACAAATACTTTACAAACTAAGCAGTTGAGTGGGTTACTTCATTGCAGAATATTGTATGCTCGTTGCTTTTATCTCCAACGTACCTTAGCAGCTTCTATTTAAAAAAAAAAAATATGTATTTCAAAAATTTAATTAATAAATTACAACAACAGAGTGAGAACAAGGATGTTCCTAGTTGATTAAAATAATAAGAAAATGCAATGCATGGTGTTAAACATTAATTATTTCATCCCCTACTCAATTTGTAAGTTTGCTCATTCACATAGAAACAAAGTCTTTAATTTTAATGGAGAAAGACAGAACATCAAGCAAAGGTTCAGGAAGAGCCTGTTAATGATCTGAAAGTAGTTGGGACCACAGTCACCCAGAACACCATTGATGACAGACTACGGCATAATGGATTGAAGTCTTGCAGTTCCCACAAGCCCCCTGCTGAAGAAGATACATGTAGAGGTCTGTCCCAAGTTTGGCAGTGAACATCTGAATGATTCAGAGAAGGCTTGGCAGAAAGAGCTGTGGTCAGATGGAGCCAACGTCAACTCGACCCAACACATGCAGCCAAGCATGGGAGTGGAAACATTACACTGAGCTGTTTTTCTGCTAAGAGTACAGGATGACAATGGGCGGAGTCACGTGGCATAAAATCTTTGACAAGAAGTTTCTTGCCTCAGCCAGAACACTGAAGATGGGTCATGGATCAAAAACCCACCACCAAGATAACAAAGGAGATCCGAATGATCCAAATACTCTAGCTAGTGTCCAGACCTCAATCTTATAGAAAATATTTGGAACGGAATTCTCAACTGGCATTAAATGTCGTACCACTGTGCTTTCCAACAAGTATGAAGTCAAGTGTTGTAGTCTGTATTTACCCCACTGGATGGACTGAGGTACTGCACACCATCAAATCAGCCATGTCTAGATGCCTACATCGTATTCCTCTGTTTCATGAAGCTCCATATTTAATTAACCCATTAAAATACATTTTAGCAGCCATGCTATTGAAGTAGGTGAAATGTTTCTTCATTACCACAAACACACACTTATAAAGAAAATCGCACACACACTGTCCTGTTGCCCGAAGTATGAAGAAATGCTACGGTACTAACCATGTAGCGTTCCCATATTTGATGCATTCTGACAGTTATTTTGCAGACAGACATTGACCCCATGTTTTAAATAATATATCTAAAAAAATAACTAAAGAACTCACGATATTGATCATGGCTGCCAGGAAGTTGATGAGGATCGAGACGAAAATGATGACGTTTCGTGCCGCGTAGGTTTCGTTTATCCAGCAGCAGGCTTTTCTCAGGACCAGAGGCAGACACTTGTAGTCCTCCGCTGTCGTAACTAGGACCAGGCAGGAATGGAGGATGATGAGGACCGAGAACTGGATCACCATGGTTACCATGCTGCAAAAACACAATGATAAATATGCCAGTGGGACACTGCAGCTTAGGACTAGTCTTTATTTGAACAGGTAATCAAGCTGACTTTTAAAGAATAATTTGAATATATTTAATTGTGAGCCCAGCATAGTGGTGCAGTTGCTAGCACTGTTGCTTCATAGTGAGATGGTCCCAGGTTTGACCTCACAGACTGCCCGAGAGCTCTCTGCGTGGAGTCTGCACATTCTCCCCGTGTCTGCTCTCTCTGCGTCCTCACACGGTCCAGAAACAAGCATGTTGGATGAACTGGTGACTCTAAATAAGCTTGATGTGTAACTGTGAGTCTGCAACAGACTGGTGAGCTGCCCGTGTGTACCCACCTCTCGCCATATAAGAGCTGGGACAGCAGCACTGTGACCAGGAATTGGATACATGGATGATGTTTTGTTTTCTTTATGTCACGAGCTTACTGAGCATTTCAATAAGCTTGTGAAAAATGGTAACGCATATTGGTCACTACAGTGGACAGCTATTCAAAGGCTGTTTTCTTGTATTTGTGTCAGTGTTGATGGCACACTTGCACATAAACCACATTGGACACTGATGTGTCACTCCATACCCTGCCACCCACTGGTCCTTTAATGTTACTATAGATGTGTAAAGTGTTGCATTGTAATTATTGTTATTTAAGCCCTTCATACATGAATTATGACAACTTTTTTCTTAAGTATTTTTATTCATCTTTTCACACCTAAAGATAAATAAAAACACTGAAGAAGAAAATCCTGATTGAGATTGAATTCATGCATGAAGGGTTAAGTGAAAAATAGTCTGAAGAAACAAAAAAATATTATGTATGTCCAAAACTTCAAACGTATTGTATTACGAGATATCAACAGATGGCACAACAGGTCTGGGCTCTTCTTTTATGTAATAACAAATTTTACATCCATCCAATCGCTTCCGCTTATCCTTTTCAAGGTCGCAGGGGCCACTGGAGCCTATCCCAGCTGTGTTAGGGTGAGAGATAGGGTACACCCTGGACAGGTCTTCAGTCTGACGCAGGGCTACCACCAATATCCTAATACCAATTAGGATTGGGAAATGTGCTCTAAACTCCTAACAGCCCAATGTGGGATCACAGATGACTGATAGCGCTGCCACTTGGGCGGGATGCAGAGGAGGTTAATGTTAGTGTGCACTCAATGGCACTGTCCACCTCCACAATGTACAACGTGTGGCCTAAAAAAATCTCTCTTACACACACACACACAAACACACAAACACACACACGTCGGGTAATTATATCTTTCGGGACATCTAATTGACATAATGCTTTCCCTAGCCCCTTACCCTAACCATGAAACATGAATGCCTAACTCTTACACTAAACCTAACCATAACCAATTGTAACCCTGACACTAAAACCACATCCCCATAAGAGCTGTTGGTCCCCACAAGTACAATAAACTTCCAATTTTTGGTCCCCACAAAGATATGAATACACACACACACACACACACACACACACACACACACACACACACACTGGTAAAGGTTTTAAAACGTGTCACCTGCTGGAAAAGTATCTCCATCACATCAAACATCAATTTAATGACTTTTGCTTTCACTTTTCACTCTGACTTTGGTGTATTCGGTTTTGTTTTTATCAATTATAGCTCCATATGGTCATCTACTGAACGAACATCTGAACACTGAAGGCTCGCTATTAGCACAGAGTAGGTGTAGTTTTGGAAAACAAGGCACACCACTGAACTAAAACGGGCAAATTACTGAAAACGTATGTGGTGCTCTTACAGAATAACACAACACAGGCCAACGCTAACCGAATAAAAATGGCCGCTGCTTTTTTGTCCGGTGCGACCAATTCTTTTTTAAGGTAGGAGTTTTTATAATGCTTAAACTTACACTGAGATCTGGACACTAACCAGATATTCAGCTATGACTCTGGTTCTTTGTTTGGTTTTCATTCACGTGAGTTAATGATGATTTATATAAGGACCTGAAAGCAGCACCATTGCAGGGGAATATTTCCTGAGAGAGTCTGAGGACAACACAAACCTGCAGAATTCTTGTATTTAGTGAAGCTTGTGTGCTGTTGTTCTATAGATGCAGGCAGGTATCAAAGCGGCTTTCAGATTGTCAGTTGGCATTACCTTACTCTGTTCTCCTCGGCTGAGATTCATTAAAAGCTTGTGATTCTGCTCGAGCTGACCTGGTCACACAAGATTTCCTTCACAGTCAGAGTCACAGAGACAACACAAGGCAAGATACGCTTATAACGCAGCTGTTTCTGCCTCCTTTCTCTTCTTTCCTTCACCTAACCCACTCCCCCCCCACCCTCTAAACCTCTGACATGATGAAAAAAAGAAAACCTCAACCTTTACATTTAAATTACAACCTAAATCTGTTCACTCAACCCAAGTCCTTAACCTCTCACAGATGACATGAGCATCTACAGCTGTGTGCAGCAGAGAATGCTAACCCATATACTAAGGCTACATAGGTCAGGGTTTTGTTATGTGATAGACCAGTGAGCTGTTCAGGGTGTACCCTGCCTCTCACCCTATGACCTTTAGAATAGCCTCCAGCCTCAACATGACCCATGTTTTTACACATAAACAAGCACCATGGAACATACTGGACAGCTAGCATTTCCTCTCTGATATGATTTTGGTGCGGTACAGATTAATGTCAGAATTTCCAAGTTCCCCAGGATTTCCATCTGGAACAGCCCCCCAGGTAGGACTTTTAACTCGGAAAGTCAATTCAAGATGGCGACAGTAAGCGTAAGCAGTAGTAGAACTGTAAAACCTGTAATCTCTAATCTACTGTTTTGCATTTGCGCCTCACTAAATAATCCATATGCGCCCTGTCCATGACTGTGGAGCTCAGGAGCAAACATAAACAGTGTATCCATTGGATTTTGGTGCTACACCCACATAAAAATCAGTCCCCAGTGTCTTAGACGCAACCAAGAGGGTCAGGGAAGTTCCTATTTTACACTGAAGGTGCAAAAGCTGCTACACATGCAGAATTAAGAGATTGCGCATTTTGAAATGATCATTTTATTGAATATCTGCTCTCTTACCTGGCAGAGGGTAGCAGGCTTTGGATGGTTGTGATGAAGACGAGCACAATGAAGGCGCACACCAGGTTGGATTTGAAAACCTCGTCCCTCATCTGTGAATACTGCACAATGAAGAGAAGACAAAGAGAAAGAAGACGGAGGAGGAGGAGCAGGTGAGGGGAAGACGAGAAACAAGTTTTCAGACAAACAGAGAAGACATCAAAATGCAACTCAAACACGCCAGTACACTGCCACAGATGCATGCCACGGTTCAAACACAAGCGTTAGAGAGAGACAGGAGCTGGTGGGTTAGCTGTGGGGTCCTGTGTGGGGAAGGTGCGAAGCTCACAAGCACAATGCTAGCTTTTAGCAGAGTCAGAGACGAAAACGATGCACGCCGTGTCAAAATAAGCAGACTGCAAAGCTAAAACTCAGTAGGAATAATATCAAATTAATTAGCTTTTTCTTTCAAATGTCTTTTTAGTCCTAAAGTATCAATGCTAACAACTCAACCAAATAAAAAACTCTAATAAGGATTTCTAAAAGCCTCAACCTTTTTGACTTTCTCCTACTTTTTTCTCTGTATTTTACATATAGACCTACTTTCTAATTTTTATATTCTGAAACCTGGTATAGTTATGCTAGCAATCAATGTAAGTAATCCAGACCTGTGAGGAAACCTTCAGACTATTTGCACCTGGCCAAAGGTTCAAGAATTTTCTTAATGTTTGATAAAACGACCTGTTCTCTTAAATAAGAAGACTAGCTTGGCTGCTACACTAAAAACAGAAAGAGATACGCTAGCCTGTTTAACAAGTACACAAAGGGAGATATTAAAACACTAGTTGACTGTTTTAATCATAACCATTACTCATAACACTTGGAAGATGTTTTTGAATTTTGGAGCGCACCAAGCTAGCACTAAGCTAGCACTAGCCTAGCACCATGCTAGCGTACTCATGCTAATTAGCTTACTAAGTGCACAATCATAACAGTAGTATTCACTGTCTCATCAGATAGCTATATTTATTATTGCTTCTAAATACTTTACTGTTTCTAAATATTTAATTTAAAAATATTTAAAGTCTACACGTTAACACGTTTTAATTTTCTGATCCTGTGGCTTCTGCCGAGTTACACGAACATAACTTGACCTGAGTCACCAGTCTGACCAAACTGCCCTGAATTGTTTCACTGAAAACTTCCCACCCTGTAACCCCCGCTGCCCCGTCCTCGCTCTGTCTCTTTCTCAAAGGGTGCTGGGAAATTAGCAAGAGGATGCTTCACGTTTTGTCACAACTTTGGCAAAAAAAGATGAGGGAGGCCAACAGCAAATCACTGCACATTTACTAAAGAGGTTAAGAGGGCAACAAAATAATAATAATAATAATAATAGATTCTTGGAAAAAGTTTTTAATGTAAGATTCAAGGGGAAACACAAATGTGAAGAGGGAGAGGCAAAACGAAAGTCAACTTAAAGGTCAAAGTGAGCTCAGTAATGTAACAAAAAATAGGGTAAAAAGGGACCAAAAGCTTCAGAAGTTCACTGCATTCACTAAAGAAAAGGCGGGAAAACACAGACACACTTTCCAACTTCCATATCTCATGATAACGGCAATGAAGACTGGCAGCTGTGTTTAACCCCGTTTAGATGTTTGTATTTGAGTTTGTTTCTTTTAAAGACGAAATAAAACACAAAACCACTTTTTAAATATCTTTAAATTTGTTTTCAGATTAATAAAATCACAAACTGCTAAATAGTAAGGTATGATGCAGATTAATTCATCAAAGGTCATTTGACTATTGACACTACTGCTTATATAGAATTGTAAATAATCTTTTGTGTAGTTTCTAACACAATAACGACATTAAACGACATACCACAGATGATTAAAAAAGTAACAATAAATAAAATTTTATAATAATAAATCCTAATGTAGACACTCTAGTATTACATATAGTACATTTAACAGAAATAAATATTTCAAACATCTCATCATTATGACACGTTCAGCTGCAGTTATGGGATATGGAAGTCAGGATTTTGAGAAAAAACATATTTTTTCCTGTCATGCTGTTTTCCTTTAGTGAATGCAGTGTGCTCCTGTAAAAAAAAAGAAAGAAAAAAAAATAGAGTTGAATATGTTGTCAACTTTTTCCACAGGACTGTAAAAGGGGTCCACGGCATGGACGTTTGGTCATGAGTAAACTGAAGGTGGAAACTGGACTCCAGGTGTTGGCAAACATCATGTTTCATCCAGCTTCGAAGCTTGGCGAAGAAAAAAAATCTCACATCCTTCATCAGATTTGAAGCACGTCAAACATGAGTCACAGTTACACGTGTTTGATGCGTGAGAATAATAGTTACATTAACTCACAGAAGATATTAATGCCATGCAGAGTTAGTCTGTAATGTTAGAGATGAAGCTGATTGTGTTGTTATTACGGAGTGTGAAGTGTGCCAACAGAATAATAATTAATTGTTGTATATTTTTAACCTGTTTTGTTTGAACATATAAACCTGAGAAGAATCCTAAAATACATTTAATTAGAAGAATTTAATTTCACTTTCTTTCATTTAAATTGCATAATGGAATTATGGATAATAATATACTAACTCAAATGCATTAATTATTGACTGATTATAAAGTCATTTACGAGCCAAACATACACTCACAGCTTTAAGCTGAAAATGTTGACATGTCACTTCTGCTGCTACCTTGCAACACGGCCTGCTGTTTGAAGCCTTCCACCATCCCAGCATATGCTCCTGCAGGATATATACTTATCAGACACCCAGCTCTATATGCAACACATTTGCTAATGCTACAGCCACACGAGGCAAAACAGTGTTTGGGGACCATGACACAATCAAAACGACTGTGACCATGTGCAACAAACTTGCAGTGGCTGCTTTGAAGATAAAACGAGGTCTGCAACAACTTTCACTGCAATCAGTTGCTGCCTTCAAAGCAACTGCTGTTACAACCAAATTTCCCCTAGTGGGACAATTAAACGATTATTCTATTCTATTCTAACTTCAAAACTTTCAATAAACTTACAATAAGATGAAGCGAGTTCAGTTAAGTTCATAAATTCCTCCATAAATAGCAACATAGTTGCCACAGGACAGCAGTTTAACTGCAAAATGGCCCCGGGCCTCGACAACCAAGGTGTATAAGCGGAACAGTTGGCAACTAGTTAAGTTGTGTTCCCTGTTGCAAGGAGATGCAGACTTACATGTGTACATCTGTCTGCATTTATGAGTTAAAGGGTGATAATTTACAGTCAGTCTGGAGGCAGGTGAATTGTGCAATCTTACAATCAAAAGCGGTTGACTAGCTAACTAATTGCAAACAGGCAGTGGAGGAGAAAGAATCCAATGTAAGGAAGGAGGTAAGCAAGAAAGTTGCTTCTCCTACTTTTACTCTAGAGTGATGAAGCCTAAATCCCAAACACTACCTGTGTGCTACAGGAAGGAGGGTTAGATGTTGGTTATATGTCTGATAGATATTCTGTGGCGTCAGTTTTCTTGTTTTGCTCATTGTTTTGCTTCATTTCAGAGCTTTTCAGAGAAAATCCAGGTCGACGCCAATGTCTGGCTTAACCTTCTGCATTCTACGTTCTGCTGTATTAATTATTGTGGTGGCACACTTCAGAGTCCATTTGCTACAAAGATGAGTAAGTCTTTAGCTAAAAGAAAATCCTTGACCATTAAATCTATTTTGCAGTGCATCGTATCCCCTCCCCCCAAAAAACACAACTTTTTTTGTTAAGTCATTAAAAGTTGTGGAATCTTAAATTGACTCAGATTGACAGTAAAATACAAAATGTCAGTCTTTTTGTTCCTGCAATCCCACAGTAGTACCTCATGTGCCTTTAGCTTACTCATGATGGGACAATAAAAAATTGCTGGTTATTGTTTTGCTTCTGAAAGTCGTCATTTAGGAAAAGATATGAGGAGGGAGAGAGAAAGAAAAAAACAGTTATCTGTCTAAAACCCCAGCTACCTTCTCTTCCAGGCTGGAGTCTTTAAACATCAGTGAGAAAGGCTTGATATGCTCTCTTCTCAACTTATCGCCACTCCGTAAGTCGATGGCGCTCTCTATTCGCTTGTTAATTTCCTCAGGACCAGAGTGGACATGCAAAGCTTGTGCGAGATGGTTTGGAAGCAGATTTATCGAATTTCTCGTTAGGGCAGCCAGAGTCTAGAGGGAAAGCACATGCACATAGAATGAACCTGCTTGTCCCCCTTTTGGTTTCATTCAAGTTACAAATGAAAAAGAAGAACAGACACACAGTTACATTCAGTACATACACAAAAGAAAGTTAAGGAAAAGGAAGAAAAGGGAAGACCAAAATGCAACATCGGCTATCAGACCGACACTTCAGAGCAAGTCATGCATCTTCCATTCACCCCTGCAGCAGGTTCACTTTGCACTCGGGTTAGTGGTGACAAAGCTCTTAAAACAAGCACGCATTATAACAAAGCTGTAACTCATGTGCGGGACGTGAAAACAGAATCAAAATGGCAAATCGTGAAATGAAGGACAGAAAACAAAGGTTTGGATACAAGCGGAGCAAATGCGCAACCATTTATTTCCACCTGTTATTATTATAACCTTCAAAACTTTCCAGAAACAAAGTTAAACTCCATTAAACCCTCACCCCAGACAACCCTGCAAGACATTAATATGCACTATTATAAAAGGTAATTGAACAGCGCAAGGCTCTTTCTTTACAAGGGTCTCCTCGGGTTTTAATTTACCACTTCATCGCTTCCCGTCTCACTCGGCCTTCCTTTAACTAAAATATATCCAAGGTCAAAAGCTGCCATAACTCTCTTTTTAAAGCAACCCTTTTCATCCTCTGCAAATCAAGTCTACTAGAATCATTACAGGCTTTCCCCCCCAAAGGTTTTCGGGTGAGATCATTTCTGCTTACAGACGTTTCAGTCTGACTGTGAAAACGGCCAAATCTACAAATGTAGAAACACCGAGGTCAGTACATCCGGATTTACTCTGCAGTTATTTTGATTATACTTTCATGAGGTCACCAGCATGCAGATCCAAAAAGATACAACTGATGAATCATTTACTTATTCATTTAAAGGCTATTAGCCCATACCAGAGCTGACACTGGAGTAAAACACAGAGTTTCACGCAGGCTGTGTAAATGCACAAACATGAAAAACAAACTATAAAGGACTAAATGTCCGACCTCAAAGGTCCAGAAAAGGTTTCACATATGTACCAAAGGTGTTAAAATACTTGTCGGCACAGTTTTGTCTAAATTTTAAATGTCTCTAAAATTTTAGGTAAAATATAAATTTGACTCTTAGATGTTCAGGTTTTACCGTGTAAGCCCCAAACTTTTTTGCACCACGGAGCAGTTTATGTCCAACAATATTTTCACGGACCGGCCTTTAAGGTGTCGTGGATAAATACAACAAAATAAAATCAGTACCAAAAATCAAAATCAGTATCGGTGCCAAAAAAAGAAGATTTATTCACAACACACGGGAAAGACCCAGGGAAACGGAGTTAATGATAAAAATGATAAAAACCCTGAAAACCATAAATTTCACACCCGAGCCTCAACTCTCGCGGCCCGGTGCCAAACGACTCATGGTCTGTGGCCCGAGGGGTGGGGACCGCTGGTTTAAGTTATGTGGGACACATTTATTACAATCTGACATACACTCTGTATCACTGGCAGAACATCACTTCACAGCAAGTTAGTTCTGGGTTTCAGTTCAAACACATTAGTTTTAGGATCCACTGTTTAGATATGAGACACATAAAGCTTCAGTGAGGCTAGAAAAGTGTTTTAATGACACACTTTCAGTGTCTGTGTGAATAACAATAACACTGCTCTGCAGACTGTGCACCTTTTTTTTTATAAGAGGGCCATTTTTGTATAGTTACGACCCCCTCTGCATTGGGGGCTCGTCCATCCTTTTTTTTTCCGTCGGGTTGACTCGTTCTTTGTTCTTTGTTCGTTGCCGTTGTCGCGGGTGGGTTACCTGTGTTCTTGGTTAGCTCTACTTTTCTGGTTGGCAGTTTTTTCTTGTGTGGGAGGGTGTGTGTTAGTATGGAATTTAAATTGGAGGATTTCGCTTTAGGCCCAACTGAAGAAAAGCTGGACAGATGTAAAAAGGATGACCTCATTCTTATTGCCAATTTCTTTGATGTGACTGTGCCATTGAATGCAAAGAAAAAGGAGCTTAAAGAACTCCTGTGTATTAAACTGCATGAAAGGGGGTTGTTTGGTGAGCCAGGTCCTGCAGAGGGAGTTGAGCTGGGAGCTGTTGCTGGTATTCCTGCCCCACTGAAAAATCTCCCTTCTCAAACTGGCCCTTCTGCGGAAGAGCTGCAGTTAACACTGCGCATAAAGGAGGTGGAGTTAAAAAAGCAGCAGTTGGAGGTGGATGCCATGCACTTAAAGGTTAGGGCTCTGGAGATAGAGAGGGGAGCCGCTGTATCTGCCAGTCCTCCTACACCTCGGTCAGCCCCGCAGTTACCATCCCAGAAGAAGCCAGAAGACAGCTTTGATGTAAGTAGGCACATCACATTAGTCCCAGCATTTAGAGAAACTGAGGTAGACTCTTATTTCACAGTGTTTGAGCGCATTGCAGGTGGACTACACTGGCCAAAGAATGTATGGTCTCTTTTACTTCAGTGCAAATTGGTGGGCAACTGCTGCGCTGACGTGAACATGCTGTGTCCTCCTCGTCTGCCTAATATTTGAACTCTGTTTGTAAACTCTGATATACAGCTGACCTTAGTTTTATTACAGTCTTGTGTCTGCTGGCCCACTTTAGTTAACCCTTAGCTTTTACTCTTGCCTGTTCTTTTCTTTGTGTATTAATTGTTTTCCCGGTGGTCTGTTGAACAGCCCTGTCGGTTTTCAGTTCAATGTTCGTAATAAAACCCCTTATTTACTCTGATTTCATGAGAGGGCTTGTGTATGTTTCTCCCCTCTTATCGCCTAGCAGAGGGGGTCGTAACAGTATCCTTGCATCAAGGTACAAATTAAATTGTCCCCAGAGGTTTAAAAATTGTTACAAACTCAAGGCTACAGTTAAGTTCCCTCCTTCAAGGGTAAAACTGCAGCAGTTTACAGTGACAAGCTGTTGAGTGTCATTGTAACAAGGATCAAGGATCGCTCGTAGGAAAAAGGAAATTAACCTCTTCCTCACATGTCCTCCTTTGGTGTTTTTTCTCTATCGATGACCTCAGCCTCCACTTTGACTCTTTCTCAGCTGTACAGCCCATCCTGACGTAGACGACATGTTGGCTCCAAAGGTAAAAGCGATGAAGGTCACACATGAGGATCAGAGTCATTTTCTCAGGCCCATTGACATTAGCTACCCATCATTATTAAGTAGCCACATATTACAAATTACCCTTTGAAGTGTTTGAAACCTGTGGAGCTGGCAGCCATTAATGATGATGGAGACGTAGTCAAATTCAACATTTCTCACCAATTCTGACCGATCCAACGTCTCACCTCATCTCGCTTCATTCAACACATTAACGCGCGACATCCATCGTGCTCAGAGAGATCATTAAACGTTCGTTTTCAGTCTCTAAATGAAGGTTCTCAAACAAACACCTTCATTAGCGGATGCCTCTTCTTCTGTGTTTCATGTCAGGGCTCCTCTGACCGTCATTACATGCAAATGTGAGTCCAATCAGAGCTACCTGGAGCTTATAAATGACAGCAATTTAGAGGTCTATCAGACAGTGCCTCATGATTCACGAGAAGCAAGATCACTTTTTACTGTCAGATGAAAGATTCTCACGTCTCACAACCACAGAGTGAACGTTTTATTAATTATTCATTATAATTAATAATAAATAAAACGTAATTATATTTTAAAGTTTGAGGTTCTTGCTGGAAATGCCTTTATTGGTGAAATGCCTGTATTGAGGTAAACCTCAGATTACAGTGACGACAATCCTTCTTATTTGTGTTTTCCTGGATTCAGCCGAGAGTGTAGCTGAACTATCGACCGTGTCTGACTGCGTCGGGCTTCAGAAGAAGTCCTCTGTTTAATGACGAATGTGCTTTGAGGCCGACTAAAATCTTGACTCTCGTGCACCTCTGGAGTATCTTGTGTTCTGCTGCTATTTTTAGCTCCCTCTGTGACCTGTTCCCTCGCCTTCTACTTGTGCCTCTGCACAGCACACCGGATCTCCTTCAGATTTTTGTTGTGGGCAGCTAGGCAAAAGCCAAGATTGTGTTTTCAGTGGGCTCTGATCCACCACACAGCTCAGATTGTTTCCTTTGATTTATCTCACGCGCACACTTTGGGCTGTTATCGTCGAGCGCAGGGCTGCTCGATTATGGCAAAAATGATAATCACGATTATTTTCACTGAAATTGAGATCTCGATTATTTGACGATATTTATTTAACCCTTTAAGACCTACCATAGAATCAAGTCCGCCAGAGCTTATGTTTTTTTTTTTTTTACATGCTGTAGTGCCATTTGTGGGAGCATTTCAAGTTGCTATACAACTGTTATAGCCCATATTTTAATAATATGTATGCATTAAGTCCATAGTAATTACATTAATTGCAAAAAAGTGCAATAAACTACAAAAAAATTGAAAATCGTTTTTGTTTTTTTTTACATATATTTCTACTTGGAGAAATTTAAGAGGTTTATCCCTCAAAACTTTAAATACAAAAAAGTTGCAAAAAATAGTTTCCCACCACAGGAAATTTATCTTGAGTGTCTTCATAGTTTTATTTTGGAGATACAGCTATTTTTATATACTGCAGGAAAAAAAAATCCTATGATGCAAATTTGCAAAGGAAACAGCAGGTGCATCAAAATAAACTATTTCCAGCAGTGCAATTCGAGTTCTAAGCATCCCAGAAACTATTCAGAAAAGTCAAACATGACTTATAAAAACACCAGTATAGGCTTTTAAGGCCTACAAGTAAAAAACTACATTTTCCGCGAAAATGACGTCACTTTCGGTTTCGGACAGGAAATGGCAGACATGCGACGTTGAAGTCTTTTTCAATGTGGGAAGTGTTACGAACAGCTGATCGGATCGGCAAAGCGTGTTTCTGGAATATTATGTTTTTGTTCCTGCAAGCGCTTTTTATGCAATTTTTGCAAAGCTTTATGTGGAAGGAAACCGTGACCGAGGACAAGCTGATGGCATCAGATGTAAGTACAACTCCTCCGG